CGGGGCCTTGGTGTTATCAGCACCGCACTCTCCCGAGTGAGCCACGGGCCGGCCCTCTATCCACATGTTTACTCTTCCCAATACTCTTCATTTTTTGTGTGGGCAGATCCAAATTTTCCTCTGCCTAAAGAAGTTTTTCAAATATTTCTTACAGTGAAAGTTTGCTGTCCATGAAGACTTTATCTGAAGGAAGTCTTTATTTTGCCTTCATGTTTGAAAGGTATTTTCGCTTGGGTATGGAATTCAAGGCTGACAGCTCTTTTCTTTCAACACTTTAGGCCTGTCACTCCACAGGGATGTTGCCTGGAGCCTTTGGCAAGCCTTGATCTCTGGGACCACATGGGGAGCGGGACAGCCCCTACGGCCACCGGGTTTGGGGTGGGGTGGAGGGGGGACAGAGATCCCTGGACAGTTCAGGAGCAAGGCCAAGGCAGGTGGTGCGACGAGGCAGGGAACCCCCGAGCAGACCCATCCCTCTGCCTTCTGGCTCGCTCCCAACCACGGGACCCAGCTCAACCACCGGACCCAGCTCAACCACGGGGTCCTGCGGCCAAGACGCGGGCCGCCCGCGGGAAGGAAAGAGCAGACGGGTCCGGAGCTCCGCGGGAGTCGTGCGCATAGGGGGCGCCCTGCACGGCTCCGTCGCTCCCGTCGCTCGCACGCCCCCCGCCCGGTGAAGCACCCCGGGACTCGCGCGCTACGCCCGGGCTGTCGGAGTCTCGCCCTGTCCTCGCCGCCGTCATGTCCCGGGCGCTGTCGCAGGCCCGGCCCGCCACGGTGCTGGGCGCCGCGGCCATGCGCGTCTTCCTGGAGCGCAGCCACACCGAGCTCGACTGGGGCTCGGGCTGGGCGGCGGCGACCGCAGCGGTAACGCCTGGTGCCCCTGACCTCCCCTCCTGGCGCGCAGACCTCCCGCTGCCCACTCGCAGCTGTGTGAGCCCCACGTGTCTACCCCAGACGTCCCGACGCCGCTTCGCCCTGATTCCTTTCCTCCCCTTTTCCCTTCTCGGAAGGTAACCCAGTACCTTCATCCCAGAGACGTGCCAGTCTTGCCTGGAACGACTTGGCTAGTCCCTCTGTGGGGCACTGAAAACATAGGAATCTGGAACTGTGCAGACCCTTACCTCCCTGTTCTACTCGGGTGCCCCTGACAGGAGTCATGCCCTTATTGCCCTGGCATTCCCTGGCACAGCCCTAAGTCAGACTTTGGACCAGCATATGGTCTGCTTCCTCCTTCACTCATGCAAGACTTGCTCTGGGCCCTAAACTTTGCTCAGTGCTCTGGGTGCCCTGCTGGGTTGGCAGTGCCTCCTGCTTCACCAGGATGGCAGCACTTGAGAGCCACAGTAGCTCCTAAGCAGGATGGGAGAGTGTAGGTGGTACAGTGTCTAACTGCCCTCTCTGTGCCAGGCTCTGCTGAGGCTATAGTAGACAAATTGACATGAACCCACTCCAGGAAGCTCAGATCCTACGGATGGCTGGGGGGCCAGAGGGAGCCCTTCCTGGGCGGGAGCCACTGAAGAAACCTCAGAAAGGGGAACATTAGACCTTGAAGAAGAGATAGGAGTTTGCCAGGAGGGAAAAGCGGGGAAAGGACAGTCCGGGCAGTGGGCATGATCGTGTAAAGGCTGTGACATTTGGCATTGCCCGGGGTGTTGGAGTAGGCAGCCCAAGGACAGGATGCGTGCATGGGGAGGGGAGGGGAGCGTCCCTCCTTACTGTGTTGCTGTGTGAAGTGCTTAGGCCAGCGCCTGGCAGGCCCGTGGTGATGGCTCAGGAATGGTAGCTGTCACTTTGTTCTTCATATGAACATGCTTCACCCCCTTCCACCTGGAGGCTTTCTTCTCTCCCCTCTGGTGGAGTCTTGCCTGGTGTCTCCTCTGATTCACAGCATGGCGGATGCGGAACAAAAGGAGGATGAGCGTCCATCTCCATCGCGCCACACTCTTTCTAGATCTTGGGGCTGCCTCTCAGTGAGAACTCTGATCTCCTTTCTGATTTTTTTTTTTTTTTCCTTCACCATTCCTCTTCCATGGCCATGGCTAACTGAGCCAAAGTCCTCCAATCTCAGATCTAAAGTTAAGTTCACATCATGAAGGGGAGGGGAGATGGTGGAATGGAAAACTTCCAAGTGAGCCGTTGCTCCACCCGGCTCTCCCAGGTCTCAAGGGCTCCAATGGTCGCTCTCTGGCCTGCCCAAGTGACTTTCCAAGTGTGGAAACAGCAAAGAGGTCTCTCCTCCCACCCATCAGTCCAGCCAACTAGGGTTCCTAACAGGGGCAGAGAAAAAAGTGGGATAAGTCTCTAAGTGGCCCCTGTCTTTCCTTCCCAAGGCCCAAGCTGAGGTCTCTTGATCTCCTTTCTGAATTCCTGTCCATGTCTCCTTACTGGTCTCCCCATTTCCAGACCTGCTCTTTCTCCATACTGCATTCAAAGTCATCTTTCAAAAGTACAAGGCTGACCTCTTAGCTCCTCATCTTAACGTGTTCAGTGGTTCCCCACAGCCCCCTAAATTCCAGATTCCACAGGGTGTACTCGAGGCCCTTTGGTCTCTTGCTCCATGTCCCCCGCTGGACCTGGTGCTCTGGACACATGGACTTGCAGGCACAGCTCTCCACACACCTTGTTCTTGCCAAAAGCCCAGTGGGATGAGCTTCCCACCTGTCCTCAACTGGTGGCTTCTGTCTTCCTCTTGGAGATTTAGATTCTAGGAAAGCCTCCTGAGCTCTTAGGCAAGCATCACATTTCTACGCTCTGGGCTCCTGCAGCACCTTGTACATTTCCCTGCCTCACTTACTCTAGAGTGGGCCTTTAGACTGTGAGTCCTTGAGGGCAGGAACTATCTCCCTCTACCAGCCCCTAGGCCAGGCCACGCACATCTAGCTGCCCTGTAAAATATCACCATAGTGATGACATCAGCAGCTTATCACGAGCACATTCTGCCAAATCCTGATCAATCCTGAGGACCTCCCTGCAGGATAGTATAGACAGTCTCTGACTTAGGATGGTTTGATTTAGGATTTTTCAAGTTTGAGTTTCTGTGAAAGCAATAGGATAATCTCTCCTGATGCTGGTTGGCAGCAGCCAGTCACTGCTGCCAGTCAGCCATGCAATCATGAGGGCAAACAGTTAATATTCTACAGTGTACAGTGTTGCTGGATGGTTTTGCTCAACTGTAGACAAATGGAAGTACTCTGAGTATGTTTAAGGTAAGCTAGGCTGAGCTATGATATTTCTTAGGTTAGGTGTATTAAATGCCTTTTGGACTTAGATGGTGTAGTGGGTTGAATTATGTCCCCCCAAAACTCACAGAAACTTGAATTGTATCCCTCAAGTTTTATGTATTAGAAATTTGGCCCCCTCTGTGACTGTTAAGGGGATGGGAAATCCTATTATGGTCATTGAAAGGTGGAGCCTTGAAAAGGTGATTGGATTGTAGGACCATGTGGTAGTGAATGGATTAAAAATGGTGGTCAGGGGCGTGGTTCTGAGGGTTTTAAAAGAAGAAGTCTGTCTCTCTTGCTCTATTCTACCGTCTTGCAATGTGAGACCCCTGGGTCACTGTCACCACCACCAGATGGACTTTGGTCTCCCCAGCCTGATTAACAGTAAGCAATAAATGTCGTTTTTCTTTATAAAATAAACCAGTTCCATGTATTTTGTTATAAGCAACACAAACGGACTAATACAGATGGGTTTATCAGGACATAACCCCACCATAAGTCAAGGAGCATCCGTACCTTTTCAATCCCATTTTACACTTGAGAGGATTAAGGATCACACGTTAAATGACTTGCTCAAAGTCACAGGACTAGTAACGGCAGAGCTGGGATTTGAACCCAAGTCTGTTTCTTTTTTTATTTTAAAAGATGACCGGTAAGGGGATCTCAACCCTGGGTTTGGTGTTGTCAGCACCACGCTCAGCCAGTGAGCCATGGGCCGACCCTCCCAAGTCTGTTTCTTAACCATGACATAAGACCCTTCCCTCCTTCAGTGTTTAATAAACTGGCCTGAACTTCCGTTTATCTTCCCCCAAAGCAAAAATTGCCACCAAGGGGGCCGGCCCGGTGGCGCACTGCTACAGTGCGCCGCTTGGGAGCGCGGCGGCGCTCCCACCGAGGGTTCGGATCCCGCATACAGACCGGCCGCTCACTGGCTGAGCGCGGTGCGGGCCCAACACCGAGGGGTGCGATCCCGTTGCTGGTCCCGGTCCGGTACGGGCGCGACACTGAGGGTTGCGATCCGTTGCTGGTCACGAAAAAAGACAAAAAGGAAAAAAAAAAATAATTGCCACCAAGGCCAATCCATTGGATGGGAAGTCACTAAAGCCTGACAGTGCGGTTTCAGTTGGAAACGTCACTGAAGAGGCTGCAGTGCCCCAGAGTGGACCTCTTTTACCTGCACCTGCCAGACCACGGCACGCCAGTGGAAGAGACGCTACACACCTGCCACCAGCTGCACCAGGAGGTGAGGGCAACCCCCTGAGCTCCAGGAGGTGGTCTGCTGCTCCTCTCCTTATCCTGATGCTACCCAGGAGAGTGGAGGCACCAGGGCCATCCCAGAGTGGAGCTGGGGGCAGACCCCACTCCCAGGGTCTCCAGCCTGGTGTCACCTTCCTGGTCTCCTGGGCAGAAGTGGGTTGTGACCATAGCCTGCAGGGCAAGTTTGTGGAGCTTAGACTTTCCAACCATGCCACCTGGGAGGTGGCTGAGATCTGTGCCCTCGGCCAGAGCAAAGGCTGGATCCTGCCAGATGAGGGCCAGGGTTGCAGGGGCCTTGGTCACCAGGGCTCCTGCTGATCCGGGGTTCTCTTTGCCCCTCTCACTGTCATCTATGTCCTCTTCATAGCAGCCACTCTCCTGATCAAAGCCTGTCAGTGGTTCCCAGGTGCCCTCAGAGTGATGCCAAGCTCCTCAGCTTGGCACCAGGCACCTGCTCGCTTCCTTCCCTGTCCCATTCTGTACTTCAGCCTGGGACACCCCTGCTCCCTTCTCCCTGGGAGAAGATCTCAGGTCTCACTCAGATGGCTCTTCCTCTAGAAGCCTATTCTGACAGCCCCAGAGGAACCTGAGATCGCTCTTTTTTTTTTTTTTAATTTTATTTTGTCGATATACAATGTGGTTGACTATTGTGGCCCATTACCGAAACCTCCCTCCCTCCTCCCACCCAACAATGTCTTTTCTGTTTGCTTGTCGTATCAACTTCAAGGAATTGTAGTTGTTATGTCTTCTTCCCCGCCCCCCCGGTTTTGTGTGTGTGTGTGTGTGTGAATTTATTTATTTATTTTTAGCTCCCACCAGTAAGGGAACCTGAGATCTCAAGTGCTCCTTTACCTCCTCCTCATTCAATCAGCAAATATGTACAATGACTTGGTGCTGCGCTCTGGTCACAGGACTTACTAGTGTATTATGATTGGCTCTTTACTTGATTATGCCTGCTTACACCCTACCTTACTATACAATCTTTGAAGGCAGGACCTTGTCCTTTTGGCTCATGGATCTAAATCCGACATGCAGCCATAGTTGGTGCTCATAAGTGCTGGCTGAATGAATGAATTTTCCTTGGGCATAAACCTTCTCCACCACCATCACCACCACCAAGTATATATATGTCCTTAACAAGGTCCTAGGATTGTTAAGGTCTGGACTGAGAGGTCTACAAGGGTAAATTTGGGGTTCAGTCCCTTGACATGTCCACCCTCTTCATCATGCACCCTCCCTGCAGGGCATGTACAACACCACCACCCAGCAGGTGGTAACAGAGTTCTTCCCCTGCCTAAGGCACTTTAGATTGAGGTTCCATGCCTACCACCCTTTGGCAGGTGAGGGCTGCTGTGGGAACAGGCTTCTCCCGGAATGGGAGGGCATCCTGACCCCATCTCTGCCTATTCTTGACCTGGTTGACCTGGTAGATGCCTAACCCAGCACTGGTTAACAGGGAGGGGTTTGACAAGAGGCTGGTCTGTGTCCTCTTGGGTCCCTCCCTGTCCCCCAGTCCAGAGCCTTGAGGGACATGGCCTGCTCTGGAACATCCTGGGCCAGTGGGTCTGACTTCAGCCTACCTGCAGGGGGCTTCCTGACCGGCAGGCACAAGGATGGGAAACAACCTGTGGGCTGCTTCTTTGAGACTAAATAGCCGGTCTACAGGAATTGATGACTTGGGGTGGCCTGAGTCAGGGTGGCTAGTGGCGTGGGTCTCCTTAGCTTGAGTTAGGAAATCCCTGTGGTTTCCATCCTGGGAGTCAGCACCTTCCCCTCTTGCTCAGACTAGGTTCCTGGATTGCCATGGGTTACTGAGCCTTGTCCTGTCCTTGGAGCCCTCGTGATTCTCTGGGGAGACTGTGGGACCTGGGGTGTGGATTTCTGGCCTTCCGCCAGGTCTGCACCAGTGTCTCTTCCTTGACTTTACCCCCCAACCCACAGTGGAGGAGGGACCTTGGATTGGGACTTGTGAAACCTGGGACTTGGTGCCGCCCACTACTAGCTGGCCCTGTCACTTTGGGCAAACTGAGTTTAAGTTTTGTGAACCCTTAGCAGTAAAATTGTCATCAATGTCTCAAGTCATAATTAAGCAGCTGTTGGGGATAGCCTTCTTGCCTTCCTGTTTTTACTTTTCAAATTTTGAAAAAGCTATTAAAAGTCATACATGTGAGGGCCGGCCCGTGGCTCACTCGGGAGAGTGCGGTGCTGATAACACCAAGGCCCCGGGTTCGGATCCCATATAGGGATGGCCGGTTCGCTCACTGGCTGAGCGTGGTGCTGACAACACCAAGTCAAGGGTTAAGATCCCCTTACCGGTCATCTTTTAAAAAAAAAAAAAAAAATGTCATACATGTGTATCATTAAAGGCAACATCTTTCCAAATCCCATTCCTCAAAGGCACCTTTTAATAACTTAAAACTTTCCTTTCCTGTACCACTTACTGTGCTATCTCTAAAGTACATACTTTATTGGTATTTCTTATCAAACTTAGACGTCAACTGTGGACTGCTGGAGAGCTCCTAATCTTTCTAGATTTACAGAAGCCCAGTCTGCAAGGTTAATTTCTATGTACAATATGATTTGCTTTTCTCTTCCTCCCCTGGGGAGGAGGGTAAAAGCGAGCCAAGCTTGGTGCGAGAAGCTCCAATACTAGTGTCATTGACATGGCCAAGGACGTAAGCGGCAGTGTCGTTTGGTTTCACCTTGTGTGCACTGCTATGATTTAAATCTGTATCTGACAACCCTCCTCACCTCCAAGTGTTTCTGATAATCCTGGCCAGGTTTAGAAGCCATTGCCTTAAGTAGTGGTTCTCAGGTTGCTTTTTACACTGTCAGGGCCCAGCCTTCAGCCCTGGAGAATCAATGATTTTCAGTTTACAAGGCATGAGCAGGTCCCTTATCTCACTTACATTCACTGTCTGGGGCTGGCCAGGAGTGTTTCTGAAATAAAAACGGCCGGGACCCGGACTGACAGTTCACCAGAGAAGTTCCATTTTATTGAAAGCTGCGGGTACATTTATGGGGAGCTGCGTTCTGGGATCAGGCAAAAGGTGAATGGGGCATTAGCTGATTGGGCAGGGCTGGGCGGGAGACAAATGTTGACCTGTGACTGGTTAAGATTTCACGCAGGCGGGCTTGTTGGCTGTGGAGAAGAACCCGGAAGGGCGCCATATTGCCAGGGAGTGCCCCCCCGCTTGAGTGCCTACGGTACCCCTGCAGTTTCCTTTCCTGAGTAGATAAGCAAGGGCAGGGAGGGGAGGTGGCTCAGCGAAGGCCACGGAGCCAGGACTGGAGCCCAGGACATGGATCCTTTCTGTGACCCAGGGCACACAGGTGTGGTGCTGTAGGTGATTAAGGGTCCACATTTGGGGGTTTGCGTTAACACCTGGTGAGCATGTTAAATGCAAGGATTCTTGCCCACCACATCCCCTTCCCCCACCCACCAAAAAAACAACACCCCAATGAGGGGCCCAGAAATCTGCATGCACTCTGATGCTCAAAATTGTATAACCTCCACTCGAGAAGACCCTGGTCCCTCAGGGCTGCTGGGGCTGGGGTGTGGGCTGCTACCCTGGAGTGACTCTGAGGGAGTGACCTCTGTGCCACTGTCCCCACCTGCCCAGCTTCTGGAAGGAGCACCACTGCAAGGCCATCGCCCTGGTGAAGGCCCTGCAGCGCCCCCAGCATGACTTCGGCCGCCCTTCACTGGATGTATTACTGCTCACAGCTGCAGGTAATGCAGCCGTCCCTGGATGCTCAGCCTCTGGTTTTAAATTGGGGGGTGGGAGAGTGAGATGGCTACACGATTATTTCGTTATTTCTGAGATTACTCTTTTTCTTCATCTGTAATTTCTCCATGGCCCAGTTCTTTTGGATGTAATCTTTTTTTTTTTTAAAGATGACTGGTAAGGGGATCTTAACTCTTGACTTGGTGTTGTCAGCACCACACTCAGCCTGTGAACTAACTGGCCATCCCTATATAGGATCCGAACCCGTGGCCTTGGTGTTATCAGCACCACACTCTCCTGAGTGAGCCACGGGCCGGCCCTAATCCTGTTCTTCTTAAGAGAAGTCATTAAGTGCCAAATTACAAACACTATTTCTCACAATGGCCCTGTCACACTCGATCGTCCCAACTTTGTGTGAGGGGACTGGTGCTATTTCACTTGTCTAACGTCCCAGATACACGTGGTAGGGAAGGAGCTTGGGTTTGACACTGAAATCTGCATTTTTTTTTTTAACCATTATCATCTATTCCATCCCTAGCTGCCGCCCCCCTCCCCCTCTCGCCCCTCTCTGTGTAGCTGGAGGCTTCCTCTCTCCCTGCTGTCCATTTTCCTAACCCCGTTCTCCAGCTTGGGCGTGACATGGTAGCGGCTGCCCTTCTGTGAGTCCCTCCCTGTAAGGTGCTGGGCCTGGAGCGAAGTGCTTCACATGTGCGATTCCCACAGGCACTCTGCAAAGTAATGAAAATTTGAGGCTTCAAGGTCAAGTAACCCAGGTTTCCCCAGCTGCAGAGACAGCTGAATGGCTCTGAACTCAGGTCTGCCTGCCAATGAGGCAGCACGGAGGTAGGGCTTTAGAGCCACACGACCACAACTGCTGGAGGCAATATAAATTCATTCTGGAATACTACAAGGCATAAATAACCAGATCCAAATCTTGGCAGGGGCAAGACTGGGATGCGGTGTGTGTGACTGGAGCCACAGTGCAGAAGTGTGCTTAAGTCTGGACGTTTCCCTGTGCAGCTTGCCCATAGGGACTCGGTCATCCTGGGCATGTCCAGCCTGGAACAGCTGGAGAACTTGGCAGTGACTGAGGAAGGGTACCTGGAGCTGGCCATTGTGGAGGTCTTTGACCAAGCCGGGCAACAGAATGTTCCAACTACTTTCTATAGGCCCAGACCTGACCCAAGGCCCAGAGAGCACCATCTGCCCCCTCTTTCATTCTCTCACCCTGGCCAGTTTTGGCCTCAGGGGCAGACTGCCTTCATGAGGAGTCCCCCAGCACTCTGCCCCCCGACCCGAATCCAACCTGACCTCTCAACAGTGAGGCTAGAGGTGGCCCTCACTCATATGCACGACAGAAAAAAAAGAGGGCCATACAATGCAAAGTAAGTTTTGTCTCATTCAGAAATGCTTTCCCTAACCAAATACAGACAGAACAATTTGGGCAAACACCTACCAGGAGAACCACCAAGAACAATAAGACCTCCCAGGATGCTGCAGAACACTTGAAACACTGGCTCTCAACTCTAGAAGTGGAAAGCTCTTACTTCAGCTAAGGCTGAAGCCTCCTGTATTCTTGGCATCCATCTGATTCTCAGCCCTGCTTTGGGTGTGTAGGAGTTGGGGGGCAGGAAGGGCAGCCAGGGCGCCTAATTTTCCTCAGCAAATCCCTATTCCAAGCAAGGGGCACCCAGGGCCAAAGAACAGGAGAAACCCAGCTCTGGAAATAGTTCTTGGCCATCCCCATAGCCGCAAAGCCAGGGTGGTCCTGCAGAAGTCAGTGCTGGCAGCTGGCTGACAATGAGAACACAGGCAATCCTGGGAATCCAAACAGAAGACAAACCCAAAGGCCCTTTTTCTAAGAAAAGTCCCCTTTGCTGTCTACAGGGAGATACCCTGCAGACAAAGCTTTATTCTTCATAGAAACAGTCAGTGCCTTTCGCCCTCCCTTGTCTCCACCGACAAGATAAACAGCTGCTCCGTGCGGTGAGGGGTGGCTGCTGTCCTGCGAGGTCCAGTTGAAATGCAGAAGGTGCAGGAAGGCTGTCAGTCATCGTCGTCATCCTCTGATTCTTCCGCCGACTCAGACGCGCTCTCTGGCAAGTCATCTCCCATCTGTTGGAACCTTCCCGACTGTGCATCCCACATGTATTTGATGGTCACCTTGAACTCAGCCATCTCATACCCAAAAAGCTTCTGCAAAAGACAAAGGGAACAAAGAGTCAAGAGGAATGAGCGTAATCAGAAGTGCAGAGAATGTTTTCAGCAGGCAAGAGGAAGGCCACGGTCCCTCCTGCACAGCCCCCGAGGAGCCGGACTCACCAGGACACGGGCCTGCTCTGGGGTCAGCACGTCGCCCTTCTTGCACACCTCGTAGTCAGACAACAGGGTCACCACACCTACAGAGTAAGGTAGCCCCAAGTGACTTCTGGCCTGCTGCCCAGAGCTGGGAAGAAGATGCAGTTGGCCATCCTCCCCACAGCTCCACTACCCACAGGGACAGTGGCCGCCTTCCTTAATGTCCCCTTAAGTGCTGTCTTCTGGCTGTGAGTGACTATCTACTTTTGCCCCATTTTTAGATGATGAGATGGAGGCTCGGAGAAATAACTTGTTCAGCCAGAAAGGGGAGAGCTTGGGCGGCCTGTGCTCTTAGGTTCTAGACTGGGACCTTTCAGCTCCAGGGACTGCCTGGTACCTCTCTTGAGGGCAGTGGGCAGGCCCAGCTGCCTCAGCTGTGGCTCCATGGAGTGGGGAAACTGCTCCAGGGGCCCTGGATCCAGGCTCACTGTCAAAGTTGCTTTGTTACCAGCTCGGGCGAAGTCCATTTCTGTATATTTGGTGAACCACCTTGGGAAAAAGAGGAGTGGTAGGAGGGGAGGCTCCTGAGGGTTCCCCCAATAAGCGCCCCATGGCCCGGGACCTTCCCTCCCCCACACATCTTGGCTGCTGGCCAGTGGCCTGGAGCAGCGCACTGGAGAGATGGAGGTGGCCCTGGTTACAGGCCACCAGGGATCAGTTCCAACTTGATGCCTCCACACTGGACAAAGTCTCTACAGTATTTCCTCCCCAGAACACTATCCGACCTTTCTCTTCCCATCCATTCCTCATGAACACTTACTCATTCACCTCTTCCTTAGCGCGGTTGGTGAAAAGGAGACCAACTTCACCCCTCAGCTTCTTGCTGACCTACAAATCAGAAGTGAGGTCAGGTGGGTCACATTAGAGCAGTGGTTCTCTACTGAGGCAATTTTGCCCACCAGGGGATATTTGGCAATGACATTTCCAGTTGGGGGGGGAGTGGTTGGGGGGAAGAGTGCTACTCCCTGGGTCTGGAGGTTAAGGGACAACCCCAGAATTTTTTTTTTTTTGTCCTTTTTGAGACCGGCCGCACCGCGCTCAGCCAGTGAGCACTGTGAGCGCACCGGTCATCCCTATATAGGATCCGAACCCGCGGCGGGAGCACTGCTGCGCTCCCAGCGCCGCACCCTCCCGAGTGCGCCAAGGGCTCGGCCCGCAACCCCAGAATTTTAAGCGAGGCAGGTCACATGGCTGGGGTGTGTGTCATGGGGGAGCAGCAGGAGAGAAGGCAGCTTTCCCTCAGCACCTGCCAGTGAGGGCCAGCAACTTACCTGGTGCAGGTTGTCTTTATACTCATCAGATGGGCTTCGACCCAAGGCTACCATCATCACTTTGTTTTTCCCAAAGAACATCCTATGAAGAAAAAGAAGGGTGTGTGAAGGAAGTGCCCTGCCCTTCCCTCCCCTCAGTAAAATGCAAACCAGCTCCAGTCCCCAGGAGCCCCCAGTGAGCCCAGACTGTGGTGTGCACTTCTCCATTTAGCCTGGCCATTTTCTGTCCCCAGCCCAGGGTCACTTTCATTATTTTTCCACCCACAGATTCCCAACACTGGCAACATTCTGTCTGCCAGCCCACTGTGAGCATTATGTAACAATCCCTCCCCTGTACAAATGTATGGAAGAGGCGTGTCTGAACCAGAGCTGGTGCAGCAAGAGACCAACCAACAGAGTCATTCACACCATCAGAATTCCAGCCTGAGGACAGTAATGCCACGTGGCTCCTGTGGCCTGTTCCTGGGTCACGGTTTGTATCCCAGCACACTTAGCAGAATTCTAAAAAAATGTAATGTTTCTAAGAGGCCCAGACTCCAGAGTAAGGCAACCACTTCTCAAACATCCCCTGGGCAACTACCAAGTCCTGCCCCTCAGGAGCTCAGTGCAAGACCAGCCTTAACAGTTAAAAAGAAGTGCTCTTCAGCCAACGGTGGCACTTTGTCCTTATTAAGGTGCCATCTGCATGACCCAGGTACCCAAAGAGTTGTGCCTGTGCTTTGTCTGAGAGCAGCGTGGTCCCTCCCCAGCTCAGAAGGTCCCCTCCCCACTCACCGGCTGTGCTTCCAGGCGTTCCGGATGTCCTTCAGCTTGCTGTTCCTCATGTTGGCCACAGAGAAGATGAAAACGTACTTGTATGTGTCCACACATTTCCGGAGCTATGAGACAATTTGTGAGGCTCTGGAGTTGAAGGGGCAGCACAGGTTGGGGAATACTCTAGCCCCAGATGGGAAAGAATCTGCTGTAGGCCCCTTACAGCTGTGGAAGTTGTAAGAGCTGGAGGCCTCTAACCTGGTGTCTCCTCGTCTCTATTCCTGAAACCAGGATCACTAACCACAGGGGAAGCTGAGCCATGGATCTATATACCTCATGGTCTTTCCCAGGTTTCTGACCTATCTGTAAACAACAGCAGAACTGACCACTTCTCTTTGCTCTGTCCACTAACTGTCAACATAGAAACAACTACCCACACTAAAAGGCTCCCGCTAAACGGAAACATATGGAGCCTCATTATTACAAGGGGAAGCAGCTCGTCGGCACTTCTCTGCTTATGTTACTGGCAGAAACCACCGTGAGGAATACTTTGTGCAGGAGGACATCTGCTCTCATCCAGCCTACCATCCAGGGCTGGCAGGTCAGAAGCAGTACAGACAGTACAGTCACCCAAACCTGGTAGCTCCCTAGTTTTTTGACATTGGGCAGGCTAACAAACTGCTGTAAGCTTCAGTTACTCCAACTGCAAAACAGTGATAACGTCACATAGTATCTACCTCACAGGCATGTAATGAGGAAAGTGCAGTAACACATTTCAAATACTTGGTGCAGGGCAGGGCACGTAGTAAGAGCTCAATCCAAGCTGGAAATAGTCACTATGGGGGGCCGGCCTGTGGCTCACTCGGGAGAGTGCGGTGCTGATAACACCAAGGCCACGGGTTCGGATCCCATATAGGGATGGCCGGTTTGCTCACTGGGTGAGCGTGGTGCTGACGACACCAAGTCAAGGATTAAGATCCCCTTACCGGTCATCTTTAAAAAAAAAAAAAAAAAAGAAATAGTCACTATGGGAGCTTTTATTGGTGCTGCTACTGGAGGCAAAAGGGTTGGATCAGCAGCTTGGTTGTTTTTTAAACAGTTTGCTCCTCTGGCAAACAATCCTATAGCCACCTTTATAAACCTAACAAATACAAGCTCTGGAAAAATAACAAGAATAAGCTCTCACCTCTTCTATCAAGTTCTGTTTTAGTTCCAAGCCTTTCTTGGCAGTTTTGGTTAAGGAAACTAATACAAAGAAGAAAAAGAAGAATTTGATTATTAGCAACATCACTAATAAGTTTTAAGTTGTCAGAAGTTAACTGTAAACTGTAAACTGCTTCCATCCTTGTTCTCTGCCCCACCTTCCCCAGTCTGTTCTCAACAGGGCAACTAGAGTGATCCTTTAAAAGTAAAGTCAACCATGTCATTCTTCTGTTCAAGCTCTAGGATGGCCACCCATTTCACTGGGGTGTAAAAGGTGATTCCTTACAAAGGCCCAGGAAGCCCTGCCCACACCCCCTCCCTTCAACTCGATTTTGCTTGCTCTGCTCCAGCCACATGGGCCTCTTGTCCCAGAACATGTCAGATATGCACCCACTTCAAGTCCTTTGCACTTCGTGTTCCCTCTCCTTGGAACACCATTCTCCCAGATAACGCCATGAGGTGCTCGCTCCCTTTCTTCAGGTTTCTGCTCATCTGTCACCTCATCAGAGAGACCTTTCCTAGCCACACTATACTAAATATCACCTTGATCTTCTCTCTTCCCCACTTTTACTGCATGGGACTCATCAATAACTGACAAACTATTTACTCGACTGTTCTTATTTTCCGGGATATATTTCCCCTGACAAAAACGTTAAGCTCGGTAAAAGGAAGGGCTTGTAACTGCTGTATAACGTCTAGAAAGTGCCAGACCCGTAAATATTTGTTGACAATGTTACGGAACCGGGGTGAGAAAGACTTCACAGTAAAGGGAGTCAGGAACGGTCTTTTACGAGGTGCCCTATGAAAAATCAACTGAGAAGGAGCCTAGCACATGAAGACCAGAGCATAAGCAAGCCAGGGGAAGGAGGCCGGGGTGGCAGGAGCACCGGGAGCAAAGGAAGACGGGCAGGAGCCGAGGCATCAAAAGGCACAGCCTGGGCCGACCCGGTGGCGCACTGCTACAGTGCGCCGCTTGTGAGCGCAGAGGCGCTCCCGCCGAGGATTCGGATCCCACATACAGACCAGTTCCCCCTCACTGCCTGAGCGAGGGGCGGACCCACCACCGAGGGTTGCGATCCCGTTGCCGGTCCCGGTCCGGTACAAGCGCGACACTGAGGGTTGCGGTCCGTTGCCGGACACGAAAAAAGACAAAAAGGGGGAAAAAAAAAAAAAGGCACAGCCTGGGAGGGAGCCCAGGAGCTGTCTCCCGGCCCACTCGGCCTTGAGAGAGTATCCGAGGCTGGGCAAGATTCTCCGTTCCGCTGACCCCACCAGGCTCCAACCTCCGGCGATTCAGCCGCCTCGAACCTCCCAGCCCTGCTCGCAGCGACACAGCGGAGCACCTCGCGGAGGTCCCGGGGTCCCATTCCGTGTCCCCGCAGCCCCGAAGCCCCCATCGCAGGCTGGGCAGCCAGTCCGCGCAGCGCCCCACCGGGTCCCGAAGCCCTCTAGGCCCACCTTTTTTGTCGCGCTTGGATTTGGGCATCGCGCTGAAGCCACGTGCGGCGGAAGGCGGTGGGGCCCGTTAAGACCCCGGAAGCGCGGAGGCCTCTGGGACGGCTCTCGGGGCTGCCCTCGCCCGTGCCTGTCCCAATCTGTGCGGCCACACGCTTCTCTCTGCCGGGCCGCCGCCTGCGCTTCCTCCCGCGTCTGCAGGACGCGAATCCGGGCGGCCTCGAGTCCCGGAGCCCCACCGAGAACCCCACGTGCGTCCCCAACTCTATGGTTTCGCGGAAGCGGAGCCCGCGGCCCGGTGCATGCCGGGCCAGCGGTGGGCGGTGCCGGGGCTCCCATCATGGCGGCGGTGCGGCTTTCCCGTCTCTGCCTTTGGGCTGCTCTGCTTCTCCCTGCGGCCGCGGTCTATGAAGACCAAGTGGGCAAGTTTGACTGGTGCGTACGTGTGGGGGACTGTTCGGGACATATGTGGCACCTTCCCTGTCCCCAGCACCTGTGTCCTACCTGCTAAAGGGAGGGGGCTTACTACGTAGCGCGATCTGCTCCATACCTTGCGGACCCACCGCGAAATGAAAACGTCGGGCCCCTTGTTCAGAAATTAAGAATTTTAAAGACGTGGACAGAGGAGCATTAAGCCTCGCGTTCAGGGCTCTTCTAAGCTTGTCCTTGCGGGACCGTGCGGGTTGCACGCCCGTGAAGCCGGCCTTGCCATCCAGGCATACTTGGGGTTCTGGTAAGAGGTCACAGAGTCCCTCGTCCGTCAGGCCTCGTTTCTGTGGATGTCATTTTTCTGGTCTGCCGGGTGTCAGAGGTCACCAACCGTCTGAACTTTCATTCCTCCTCTAATTGGCGTCTCTTAGGCTGTGAGCAGGGGCTTGGGTCCTATAGATCCTAAGCTGAGTCTTCTTTCCTCTCCCAGCCTGGCCCTGGGCTCAGAGCATGGTGCCATTCATTCATTCCCTCACTCACCCACCTCTTCCTTAAGGCCCCAGAGTCGCCTTTCTTTTGTTTGAAGGTCCATTTTGCTACTTAAGGGTTGTGTGATTCAAGGGACATGACTTAACCACTTTCTAACTTGGTGTATTTACCTGTAAAATGAGTTTACTAACAATCCATTATCTCCTACACAGTAGTGGTGAGAATGAATGAGGTAATCCCGTTAAATTATCACAATGCCTGGCTCAATGAGTGAAATCAGTACATGTTACCCATATTATTATTGACACTTTATCCTTCAGGGCCCAGCTCAGATATTCCTTCCTCTGTGAAGTGTTTTTTGTTTCAGACAAATTGATTCACATATTTGTTGAGTGCCTGTTGTATGTGAGACAGTGTGACAAATGCATCATAAGTCGCAATTTTTTTTTTTTTTTTTTTAAAGATGACCGGTAAGGGGATCTTAACCCTTAGCTTGGTGCTGTTAGCACCACGCTCACCCAGTGAGCAAACCGGCCATCTGTATATGGGATCCGAACCCGTGGCCTTGGTGTTATCAGCACCGCACTCTCCCGAGTGAGCCACAGGCCGGCCCATAAGTTGCATTTTTAATGATGTGTGCAGATGTTCACAGTGTCATATGTATATATCACACATATATAGCAGGCGATTTCAATTTAGCAGAATTCTAGGTATATAGCATAATTACTGTAAGTATAATTAAATATTAGGTAATTAGCAGAATACTAGGTATAATTTTCAAATTGAAAGATAAATAGGGGCTGGCCCGGTGGCGCACTGCTACAGTGCGCCGCTTGGGAGCGCGGTGGCGCTCCCGCTGAGGATTCGGATCCCACATACAGACCGGCCGCTCACTGGCTGAGCAAGGTGCAGGCGCAACACTGAGGGTTGTGATCCCGTTGCCGGTCCCGGTCCGGTACGGGCGTGACACTGAGGGTTGCGATCCATTGCCGGTCACGAAAAAAGACAAAAAAAAAGAAAAAAAAAAAAAAAGAAAGAAAGATAAATAGAAGGAAATACACCCAAATGTTACAAATATATCGATGGTGGTGGTTGTATTAGTTTGCTCATTAGGCTGCTGTAATGAAACATCATATTCTAAATGGCATAAATAATAGGTTAATTTTCTTACAGTTCTGGAAGCTGTAAGTGTATATCAAGATGTTGGCAGGTTTGGTTTCTCCTAAGGTTGTTCTCCTTGGCTTGTAGATAGTCACCTTCTCACATGGCCTTTTCTCTTTGAGTGCACATCCCTGTTGTCCCTTTCTTTTCTTATTAGGACCCAGTCCTATTGGATTAGGGCTCTACCCTTTTGACTTCATTAAACCTTAATCCTGGGGCTGGCCAGTTAGCAGTTAGCTCAGTTGGTTAGAACACCAACTTGTTATAACACCATGGTCAAGGGTTCAGACTCCCTACCAGCCAGCCAGAAAAACAACAACAGAAACAACCAAAACTAAACCAACAACTTAATCCTTTTAAAAGTCCAATCTCCAGCTACAGTCACATTGGGAGTTAGGGTTTCAAATATGAATTTTGGGGGACGCAATTCAGCCCATAACAGTGGTATTTTGGGTTTTCTTTTTTTTCCCCTAGTTACTAAAAGAAATTTCTTTTTTTCTTCTTTTTTTTTTTGTCTTTTTTTCGTGTCCGGCAATGGATCGCAACCCTCAGTGTCGCGCCCGTACCGGACCGGGACCGGCAACGGGATTGCAACCCTCGGTGCTGCGCCCGCACCTCGCTCAGCCAGTGAGCGGGAACCGGTCTGTATGTGAGATCCGAACCCTCGGCGGGAGCACAACCACGCTCCCAAGTGGTGCACTGTAGCAGTGCGCCACCGGGCCGGCCCAGAAATTTTTTTTTTGTACCTTTTCCCTCACATTTTTCATAATGAGAAGGCATTACTTGTATAGTCCAGATAAAACTTAACAGTATTTTAAAAGAGAGTATGAGGGCCGGCCCGGTGGCGCACTGGATAGTGCGCCGCTTGGGAAGCGCGGCGGCGCTCCCGCCCGAGGGTTCGGATCCCACATACAGACCGGTTCCTGCTCACTGGCTGAGCGAGGTGCGGGAGCAACGCCGAGGGTTGCGATCCCGTTGCCGGTCCCCGGTCCGGTACGGGGGCGACACTGAGGGTTGCGATCCGTTGCCGGACACGGAAAAAGATAAAAGACAAAAAAAAATAAATAAATAAAAATAAAAGAGAGTATGGGATTTAGAGTCAGAAGGTTTTGGTTTTGGGTTTTAGTTCTGACAATAATTAGCTGACCTCTCTGGACTTTGGTTTCCTTACCTATAAAATGGGAATACTAGTATTTGCCCTATGTACTCAGTAGATACAGTGAGAATAAAGTATGTAATAATACAGGTGGAAACTGTCAAATGTCATATAAACCTATCTCTCTACTGCCTGTTTCAGTTTTTTTTTTTTTAAACTAGACCAAACAATATCATAGCAAGATAGATTCAGTGTAAATGTCATGTGTGTTTAATGTGCTAAAGATTGCAGTACTTTATTAACAGCAACATTTTATGCTTAGGTAAGAGGTTGAAAGAGATGGGAGAGAGCCCAAGGAAAGTATGTGTACTGATTTAAGTGGATCCTGAATATGTGTGGGCAAGAAAGGGCTGGAGAGAACAAAGGCCTGACCCAATATGTGGAGCTTTGTCAGAACCTTTGCACACATTTTTTCTCCAGAGGTTATTGAAAATAGAAAGGGGAGTTGGATTGTGTGCTCATTGAGGGCAGAATTTTTTTTTTTTTTTTTCCCTTTTTGTCTTTTTTCGTGACCAGCAACGGATTGCAACCCTCAGTGTCGCGTCCGTACCGGACCGGGACTGGCAACGGGATCGCAACCCTCGGTGTTGCGCCCGCATCTCACTCAGCCAGTGAGCCACTGGTCTGTATGTGGGATCCGAACACTCGGTGGGAGCGCCACCGCGCTCTCAAGCGGCGCATTGTAGCAGTGCGCCACCGGGCCGGCCCTTGAGGGCAGAATTTGTGTTTTTTCTTTCATTTGTAAGCTGTCTATTCCCGCTATCAATGAAAACAAAGAAGACTGTAATGTTTGTTCTAGTGGGTTTTAGGCCAGGTGCTCATTCGAGTGTCACTTATCTTGAGCTAAGTATGTGTTTCCATATAGAAGAAAGACTGTTAGTATTTCTCATCTGTTAGGAGGTAATTCTCTTCTCTTGTTGGCTTTGCTTTTGACTCCATTACATGGAGATCTTCCTTTTGCTCAGATCTCTTCATTAACAACATTTCTTATTTGTCCTCAGGTAGGTGTGATGGTGATAACCCTGCAGTTTGTCTTTTTCCAAAGCATTTCGTGCAATGATGATTTGGGCCCTTATGTTCTCCTGCACTCTTGTCCTCAGGAGACAGCAGTATGTTGGGAAGCTCAAGTTTGCCTCCTTGGAGTTTTCCCCTGGATCCAAGAAGTTGGTTGTGGCCACAGAGAAGAATGTGATTGCAGCATTAAATTCTCGCACTGGAGAGATCTGTGAGTAAACTGTGTAGACTGGTTGGCTTGGGGATGAAAAGGATGACCATATATATCAGCATATGTATATATATCAGTCTTGTCATCTTTGAATATTTAACATATTCTTATAACTGGTCTTTGCAGTTTATTACCTCAGCCTGAGTGCTCTTAAATAAGATATTGTTGGTTAGAGTGGGTGTTATAACACCAAGGTCAAGGGTTCGAATCCCCATACCAGCCAGCTGCCAAAAAAAAAAGAAGGATATTAATTACAAAAAACAACAACAACAAAAAAAGACATTGCTGTAAAAAAGACATTATTCTATATGAGAGGTAAATTAACACCAATTGCTAAACATAGAAACTGGATAAATTTCAATATTCATTTAGAAATTAATTTTATGATGCTGTCCTAAGTATTAAAATACAGGTTATACTTAAATCATTCAAAGTTTGGCATGTTCACACATGTGCACAAAGTATTTGATAGATATTTACACACTGGGAGACACAATTATGGTCTGACTTTGGAGTTTTGGCAGATCTGGGTTCAAATTCTGGCAAGTTTCCCTACTAGCTTTTTTTGGGTGCGTGTGATCCGAACCCTCGGGCGGGAGCGCCGCCGCGCTTCCCAAGCGGCGCACTATCCAGTGCGCCACCGGGCCGGCCCACACATTATTCTATTTCATAGTAATGGCTCAGATGCCCCCCCTTAAATTACCTATGTAATTTAGGCTGGATGTTTTTAGGCACTAAACTTCCGGAAATAGAATTTACAATCACTATTTTTCTTGTGAATTAGGTGGATATTGTTAATTTTGTCATTGTTTACGTTTTTGACGGGCTGGTAGTGGGGATTGGAAGTGCAGAGACTTCAGATTGGGGCAGTAGTGGTTCCTGCCAGCCTCTCCTCACCCAGCGAGTGGGACTAGATCATTGCCAGTTAGCTGTATGCCTTCCCTCCCTCAAAATAAAATTGGACACAGCTGTGCAAACGAAAATCTCTTCAGTTCTCTGCTAATCTTTTTGGATGCTTCTTTCCAGTTCATAGTAATGTCTGACTTTCTTGTTTCTCAGTGTGGCGCCATGTTGACAAGGGCACAGCAGAAGGGGCTGTGGATGCCATGCTGCTCCACGGACAGGGTAAGCAGAGGCCTGCTGTGTCTCCATCCTGGGGTCAGCTCCGTATCCCATTCCTTGGTTCTTTCCTTTGCAAAGGGTCTGGGAAGGAAAGAAGAAGGGGTGCTCCTGACAGTGAAGAACATGTACCTGTTTAACATCTATTTGCCTCCATAAATCAGAGGGGAAGCCATAGCTCACAGAACCCTAGGAGGCAACAGAGCAAGTTTGGGGAATGATTTCACCATGGTCTTGTCTTTTCCAGATGCCATCACTGTGTCCAATGGAGGCCGAATCATGCGTTCCTGGGAGACTAACATCGGGGGCCTGAACTGGGAGATAAGCTTGGACAGTGGCAGGTAGGGGACTGTATTTCATCATGGCTGAGTTAGAGGCTTTGCTGGAACACTGATCTGCATAGACAGCAACCCTGGACTTTTGGCTTTTATCCCAGGGATCACTGAAGAGCCAAAGAGCATCAGATGCCCAGTTCTTGATGTGGCTGAGGTTATGGAACATGTGTGTTTACTCAGCCAACATTTGTTGTGCACCTGTTAGATGCAGAGCTCTGTGCTAGGTGCAGTGTCCTTGTACTTAAGTACTTTTCCTAATCTTACCATGATCTGTGAGTTTTACAGTGTTCCAGATGTAAGAATGTAAGAACATAAAACTAAAACACTGAAAGTTACATATTATGTTTAGAGAACAGCTTGAGCTACTGTGACATCTTTGCTAAGGTTGTTTAAATTACAGGGTCATTTGCATTAGCTCATATGTCTTCTGATAATAACTCATTTGGGAGACACTTGGTGAGCCCCCAGGCAACAGAAACACATTTGAATGTGAGACCATTTCTGTCGTCAGGAAGTTTACTGTCAGTTGTGGAGGCAGGCATGTAGCCCACTGATGACAGCACTGTTGATGGGTGTGTGGTAGAGGTTGGTTAGGTTGCTGTGGAGTCCCAGGGGAATGAGGGAACAACCCTTAGGAGATTCAGGGGGTTTCAGGGAAGCACCGTGGCAAAATGGTTGTAAGTGCAGACACAAATTGGCTGATGAAAGGCAGGTTAGAATCCAGGTGTGTTGAACGCAAAGCCTATTTTCTTACTCACCAAGCAACAGTGGTAGTGTTCCCTTTGTCTCCTCTAGCCTGAGCCTCTGCAGGTGCAGGCAGCACTCACCCTGTGCCTGTGCTCAGTTTCCAGGCGCTTGGGCTGGTTGGCCTGCAGGAGTCAGTGAGGTATGTTGCGGTCCTGAAGAAGACCACTCTTGCCCTCCATCACCTCTCCAGTGGGCACCTGAAGTGGGTGGAACATCTCCCAGAAAGGTAAGGCTGCCTCTCACAGGCAACAGCTATGTAGTCCTGTTCTCTGCGAGCTCCTCTTTCTCCTTGAGGGTCCTAAAGCATTTGCTTTGATGCAGGCCTACTTCATGTTGGTATCATGTGGAGTGTGTGGCACTCGCTAGATCTATGCCTGAATGCAGAGGCCGTGGCTAGAGTTTCCTTTGCAGTGAGGAGAAAACTCCCAAACTGAGCCAGTAGAGCCAGCCAAGCAAGGAGAGACGCTCGCTCACTCATGGGCTAGTACTTTGTGTTTTTTGATTAAAAGTTCAAGTTAGACTGAGCCTTTCCTTCGTATTAAGAATTAGAATAATCCAGTAAATAAGAGCTCAGGTAAGATTGAGTTTGAGATCATTTCCACAGGTCTTGATGGTGGGAAGCTGGGAAGGAACAGAGGGAGGGAGGAAAGGAAAGACTCTGCTTAGGCCACCTGTGGACATTTTCTTTTCTTTTTTTTTTTATTTTTTATTTTTTGTCTGTTTCGTGACCGGTAAGGGAAACGCAACCCTTGGCTTGGTGTCGCCCGCACCGCGCTCAGCCAGTGAGCACACCGGCCATTCCTATATAGGATCTGAACCCGCGGCAGGAGCGTCGCTGCACTCCCAGCGCCGCACTCTCCCGAGTGCACCACGGGGCCGGCCCTTTTTTTTAAAAAAAGATGACTGGTAAGGGGATCTTAACCCTTGACTTGGTGTTGTCAGCCCCACGCTCTCCAAGTGAGCTAACCGAACCCGTGTCCTTGGTGTTATCAGCACCGCACTCTCCCAAGTGAGCCACGGGCTGGCCCCACCTGTGGACATTTTCAAAGTTTATAGCAGGGATCAAAAACGCAAATTCCTGGGCCGTCCCCGTGGCTCACTCTGGAGAGTGCGGTGCTGATGGCGCCGAGCCATGGGTTCGGGTCCTATATAGGGATGGCCAGTGCGCTCACTGGCTGAGCGTGGTGCTGACAACACCAAGTCAAGGGTTAAGATCCCCTTACCGGTCAAACCCCCCCCCCCCAAAAAATGCAAATTCCTATTGGGCTGAGTGTAGAACATTCATGAGCAATGTGCTTGGACGGGACTGCTGGGAACTGCAGTGCGCCTGGTCTGCCTCCAGTGGGCAGCCTTGCTCAGCTAATTGGTGCCCTATAGGCATGTAGGTAGGCCTAGTGTCACCACATCTTGTCCCTTTAAGAAAAGCTAGAAATCTGATTTTCACATATGATCTGAGTTCTAAATGTTGACAACTAACTCAAACAAAAAACAAACAAAATAACCAATAAAACTGTGGGAACCAAACAAAACCTGTTTGGGGATTGCTAGTGTGTGACATGTAGCTAAAGACTGGCAGCCTGGTTTTGGAAGATCCCTGAGGATGGTCTCCTAGGGCTAAAGCCATTGCTCCCTGTTTTTTCTTCCCCATAGTGACAGCATCCACTACCAGATGGTGTATTCCTACGGCTCTGGAGTGGTGTGGGCCCTCGGAGTTGTTCCCTTCAGCCACGTGAACATTGTCAAGTTTAATGTGGAAGATGGAGAGATTGTTCAGCAGGTATGGTAGGGTGTCTGGCTCAAGGAGCCTTGTGAATGGGGAGAGGAGTTGATAGACTCCTTAATACTTGGGACCCAGGAACTTGGCTGGGCAGATGCAAAAGCCATTTATGACCCCTGATTCTGGTCACTTGCTGGCTGCCTTCTTGTCAAGCAATTTTTTTAGTACTTGTATTTGCAAGTAGTACTCTTCTGGGGTGGCTAAGAAATTATGTAGGTCTAGTTACTGCTTGTAACTATCTTATAAAATAATGCTGAAAAATAGTGTTAGGAAACCACATATGACAAACATAGTAGAGAAATGCTTATTTGGAGTATTAGATATTTAAAATAATCTGCTATATTTTTCCAGTGACCAGAAGGAAAATCCTGATTTTTCTGCTGCTTTGGAGGCTCTAGGGAGGTTGGTGGGGGTTAGGAGATGGGGTATGGCCGGATAGGAAGAACTCCAACCATGAGCCTAGCACCCTCAGTGGAAGTCTGGTAGTGACACTGCTGATGAGCTGGGAGAGACACGTAAAAGTCCTTCATGAGCTTATGGTTACGATGTCTTTCCTATAGGTCAGGGTTTCGACTCCATGGCTGGAACGTCTCACTGGAACCTGTGGCGTGGTTAATGAGGCTGTCCTGGTGTGTCCCGACCCGAGCTCACGTTCCCTCCAAACTTTGGCCCTGGAGACGGAGTGGGAGTTGAGGCAGATCCCTCTGCAGGTGAGAGGCTACAGCTGCTTCCCCTGGTCCGAGGCATTGCCTTCAGGGCTTGGAAAGTTTGGCATGATTCCCCAAGGGTCTTTCTCCCAGTGTTGCTACTTCCTTCCTGAGCTGGGGCAGCCACGGGGAAAAGGTCAGGCCTCTGGTTGAACTGGTGTAAGGGGAAATAGGCCACTCTCGCCTTTGGGGGACCTAAATAGGAGCATGTGGAGATACCTGCCACGGCCTGGCCACTTCCCCTGGCAAAGTGGGGCAAAGGATGCAAGCCTGGGATAGGTTCATGACTTGTCAACTCCTAGCCCTAATCTTCCTCCTTCTTGCCTACCAGTCTCTCGACTTGGACTTTGGAAGTGGATTCCAACCTCAGGTCCTGCCCACACAACCCAACCCAGTGGATCCTTCTCGGGCCCAGTTCTTCCTGCAGTTGTCCCCAAGCCACTATGCTCTGCTGCGTTACCATCACGGGGTCCTGAGTTTGCTCAAAAACTTCCCACAGGTAACTGCAAGTAGCTGGGTTTGTTAGGATTCAGGAGGATCTAGCTAAGGTGTGGATACTAGAAGACATCTGTGATATTTGCATCTGGAGACATTTGTTCTTAAACACAAGATTGGTGACACCTTCCCATAAGTGATTTGAGAGGGGGTAACTTGACAACAGAAATGGTATACTTTTTCTCCTGAGTGTTCCAAGGGATCCTTAGAATAAAACTGGCACCTTCCTCTGAGTCCATAGGAAAGTGGGACTTAAATTAGAGCTTCCCTATAGACTGAGAGGAGCATGGGATTTATTAGCATTGACCGACCTGTGCCTGTGCTGGAGGTAGGGGAGAGTTCTGTTTTCAGCTGTAGATGGAACTGGGGCCTCCCTCTGCTCTCAGATGCTCCGGCCATTATGCTCCAAAGTCAGGAGCGCTTTTCACTACAAGGCCAAGGTGCTTTCCCTGGAGAGATGAACCTCTATAAGGCTACTTGCAAGTACAGGCCCCATTTAGGGGCACTGACACCTTGCATTTTCCCCAGACTGCCCTAGTGAGCTTTGCCACCACTGGGGAGAAGACGGTGGCTGCAGTCATGACCTGTCGGAATGAAGCGGTGAGTATTGAGAGTATCAGTCAGCACTTGGGGTTTTCCTTCCTTGTCTCTGCCAGGGGCCCTGAAACTCAGAAATGTGGGCACATTCGCCTGGTCACTTTGAACCCAGGGTGCTGGAGGCCGTTGAGAAGTCAGTTCTCCCTCATCTGTACAGTTTTCTGCTCACCTTGTTTCTCTCCAAGAATGAGACCCTAATATGATGACTTTCATCTGTGACTGTTAAGGGTTGCATACACTTTGTGGGCAGGGGCAAGAGATGAGATTTGCCTTCTCCCAAGTGCTGAGAAGACATAGAAATAAAAGCTTAATTTTGGTGACTGGGAAGTGACCCTTTGGCTGAATTTTCTCCTGTCCCTCTCTTTCCCCTAGCTGAAACCTAGCAGTTCTGAAGATGGGTCAGTGGGGAGCTTTTCTGAGAAGTCTAGCCCAAAGGTAGGTATGGTATTGGGTGGTGTGCCAGACCTAGAGACACAGGAGGCCACCCACGGAAGATGGGGGAGCAGCTTAGGCTAGGAGCAGGTCTTCTAGAGTTCCTGACCTCAAATGGGGTTTTCTAAGTACTATATGTTAAATGATGTTTCTCTCGATACTTTTTCATTGGGAGATCAGGAGGTAGAATTCCTCACATGTGTTCCTAATCACTTTCTCCTCTGGGCCTCAGTTTCCCCATTTCCTTTGGGATCCTGGCCGGGAGGGTGAGTGGTAATCTGTGCAGCTGCACTAAGTGGCAGCGTGAGGCCTGGGGCAGGCAGAGGTTTCTGCTGTGGCTTCTGTCTCCTAAGCTTTTCCCTGCTTCCCATCTTTGCTCACGGTCTTACCTCTCTTTGGGAAGTCTTGCTACATTGTACTGGTTTCCTTCTAAAACAAGTATAGCAATTGTAATCTCATTTATTTACTCAAGTGCCTTATTTCTGCATTAGGATTAAATTTTCTTTTCTCCTTTATTTCTCTTTGCATGTATTTTCCTGTTTGGCCTGGCTCATTCTCTATGATTTGCCCCCAGTCCTTGGACTTCCTTTGGGGGGACTTTGTTTTGGGTGATACCTGTAGTTGACTCATGCTGTCTGTACCCCTAGGACTCGCTGGCTTGCTTCAACCAGACCTACACGATTAACCTCTACTTAGTGGAGACAGGTCGGCGGCTGCTGGACACGGCAATTACATTTAGCCTGGAACAGAATGGCACTCGGCCTGAACGGGTGAGCCAGAGCATTTTACCTAGACTCTGTCCTGTGGCTTCTCAGCATAGGCTTCATTTCCTCAGGGCAAGGTCATGGCCATGGGTCCTGGATTAGGGCTCTTTGGACATGCGTTCTAGTTCTTCCAGAGCCACTAACTGGACATAAATCACTGTAAAAGCAGGTATTATTTATGCTAAGTTGTCATTGTGTGCTAAACTTTTAAATTATGGGCTAATTGATTTAACCCTCTTAACAGTCTTAGAAAATGAGAAAATGATTGTTACTGACCTGGTTTTACAACTGATTCTGTGGCCTACTGGGATTCAGTACCCACCCAGAGTCACAGAGATAGTAAGAGGCGTTGCTGGGTTCAAATTCACATCTAACTCCACAGCCTGCACTCTTAATTGCTACCCAGTATTACCTTTGTATACATCTAGTTGTGTTGCTCAGTCTCTTGGGCTGTGGCTTCTCCATCTCTAAAATGGCAAGTCTAATCCTGGCTTCTTACTCTCTTTGTGGGGTGGGATTGGAGCACAGACGAACAATGTGGTACCTGTAAAGTACTCAAGTTCCTCCTCGCAGAGGTCCGAGACAGTGCAGCACCATTCTTGTGTTGTCTCCTAAAAATACATATTCCCTTACTGGCATCTGGATAAGAACTGTATTGGGCCGGCCTGGTGGCGCACTGCTACAGTGCGCCGCTTGGGAGTGCGGCGGCGCTCCCGCCGAGGGTTTGGATCCCACCTACAGACCGGTTCCCGCTCACTGGCTGAGCGAGGGGCGGGCGCGGCACCGAGGGTTATGATCCCGTTGCCGGTCCCGGTCCGGTGCAGGTGCGACACTGAGGGTTGCGGTCCGTTGCCGGACACGAAAAAAGACAAAAAAAGGGAAAAAAAAAAAACTGTATCATTCAGACATCAGATAGGCTATGCCCTGGACCTCTAGCAATTCCTAGAGCTTTGAGTCTTGGGATCAGGGACTGTCAGGCATTTGGAAGCTCACTGACTGCAGTGGTCTTGACTGTTTGGTCGCAGTTCTACATCCAAGTGTTCTTGAAGAAGGATGACTCAGTGGGCTACCGGGCCTTGGTGCAGACAGAGGATCATCTGCTATTTTTCCTGCAGCAGCTGGGTGAGTGGATCTCTGTCAACAATTTTTTTTTTCAGACCTGCTCTTGAGTTCTAATTAGACTGTGTTTTAGGGGAGCTGTGGTCAGGCTTATGGGAAAGGGTGAAAAACCGTGTACCTTGAGTATTTTTACAGAGCCATAGGCTACCTGGCTTTTGAATAATGCTTTAGCATTCTAGGTGGGAGACAGAAATTTCCTCAGTTGACCTGTTGATTCCAGCCCCTGGCTCTGCTGTATCTTTGTTTTTACACAAGAGCTGTGGTGATCCCTGAGCCACCTAGAAGGATCTCTTCAGAAGATCAGGGAGGCAGGCTCAGCTTTGGTAAACCTGGTTTCCTGTAGCAGGAAAGGTGGCGCTGTGGAGCCGCGAGGAGTCCCTGGCAGAAGTGGTGTGCCTGGAGATGGTGGACCTCCCATTGACTGGCGCACAGGCTGAGCTGGAAGGGGAATTTGGCAAGAAGGCAGGTATGATGCACCTGAAAAACTGGGCAGCACAGTTTCTAGAAGGGGCTGCTCTGGGGAAGGGTTTGTAAGATGCTGTCCCTTGGTGTCCCTGGCGTCCTGGGCTCAGCCAGATTGCCAGTCTGTTCTGAACGAGCTCTGTGACCAGTTTTCAGTGCATTCATGGCCATATTGCTTATCTGATCATTCTTTTCTGTGAAAGCGCTAACGGTACTGTGATTCTCTCTAGGGAAAGACCCTGAGGGAAAAAAGTCTTAACTTAGTATAATAATAGCTACCATTGCCTGAGTATCTAGAATTTGTCAGGCATCATATACCTATTGTCCCCAAGCATAGCCACATCTGTAGAGAGAGACATTACTAGGTTTTTCTAGTTATTGTGGAAATAGCCCAATGTCCTCTGAAGCCGGCCACACTCCCAACACTCAGGATAGACTCCATCCCCTCTACTCTGATTCAGTCCTTCCTGCCACCCGCCTCTCTCCCTTCTGCCCATTCACCCAGCTCTCCAGCAGGTAGTTTTATTAGGGCCTGCTCTGGGCCAGGCACCTTGCTAGGCATTGCATATTTTCTTAAGCCGAGGATTAATTTGATTTTACTATTTATTTCTGCTGCCTGGACCCAGCAATTCAAGGTAAAACCTGCTTCTTTCTGCTTGCAACTCATTGCCTGCCCACATGGCTAGCTTTTGGTTAATTATTTGTTTTTCCTGATTTGCATCAGTGAGGTACATGCTGTGTGTGCATGGACTGCTGCGCATGGGACTGTCCTGTTTGCCTTTCACTTCTCTTCCCTGAGCTTGGGTTGACGGGAAATAAGATCAGCAAGGGTACTACTGCTTTTTAGTGAGCACTTACCATTAACCAGGCACTGTCCTAAATCTTGTGCGTACATGATATGATCTAATCTTTGCAGCAGCCTTATGGGTTACAAGCCATTCTACAGATTAGGAACCAGAGGCAAAAAGGTTAAGTACACTTTCCAAGGTCACACAGTAGTAAGGAGTGGAGCTGGTATTTTAATTCAGGCCTGCCAGACTCAAGAGACCATACTCTTTACCTTGCTGCTAACCTGATCTCTGGTCTCCAATGGAGGAAATTTGAATGATGGTGGCTTCATTGATTGAACCAGGGATAGAGTGAATGATAGCCTTGGTAATGGGTTGCAAATTGGTCTGTTGGGTGCTGGTTTAACAGTTGACAAAGTAGGAAATGAGGCAATGGGAAATAGAAATACCTGTTTGTGATACACATACACCCATATTCCTGCACCCCCACACCTGTACCTCTTCTGGCTTTGTCTTGGCAACCAGAAGCCTTTCTTCTGGCCATCCTGGATGTGGGGCTGTGACGGACACATTCACAGTATGGCTGCATCCTGCATGGCTGATTCCTGATCACTTAGTCTCTTATTCTAAGATTCCAGGCAGGTGAAGTTGGAAGAGCCAGGTAAGTAGGATTTGGACGGTCCTGCATGGCTATATCTGAGTGTGGGTCAGAAACAGGACTGTTCCTTAGGCTTATGGCCTGGAGTGCCAATGACTTTAATGCTCCAGAGGAGAAGGAGAAATCCTTTATTAGGAAAATCACATACCTCCCTGCTGGATACCTAGTCTGATGCGGAGTGCATTACCTTTTCTTTGACACCAGATGGCTTGTTGGGGATGTTCCTGAAACGTCTCTCGTCTCAGCTCATCCTGTTACAGGCGTGGACATCTCACCTCTGGAAAATGTTCTATGATGCTCGGAAGCCCCGAAGTCAAATTAAGAATGAGATCAACATCGACACCCTGGCCAGAGATGAATTCAACCTCCAGAAGATGATGGTGATGGTAACAGCCTCAGGCAAGGTGAGAGAGGGTTAAGCCTCAGGCACCAAACCTTCTGAAGTTCAGGGGGTTGGAAACAAAAAAGCCTTTGGTAAGGGAGAGCCCTGGTTTTAATGTAGAATCAGTTCTTTGGTTTCTCTTTCTCATAGTGAGCTAAGTATTTGTTTATCTTGCAGCTTTTTGGCATTGAGAGCAGCTCTGGCACCATCCTGTGGAAGCAGTATCTACCCAATGTCAAGCCAAACTCCTCCTTTAAACTGATGGTCCAGAGAACTACGGCTCACTTCCCCCACCCCCCACAGTGCACCCTTCTGGTAAAGGACAAGGTGAGGCCATCCACCTCTGACTTGAGCCAAAGTGGGGGTGGTTTTTGTGGTGTTTTGCGGCTTAAATTCCTCCAAGGCCCTTGGAATTCTGCAGAGTTAAAGAGGAACAATTAGGGGTTATAACTCTGTTTCTTCCAGCTTCATGCCTGGGTGGAGGAGCCATCCATTACTGAGGTGGAATTGACTGTAAGGTAGGGGTGGCTTCACGAGATCAGTAGAGAGCAGCCTTCTCCCTTTCCTGACTTAAGCTGTTGTTGATAGCTGAGTGGCTGTTTTCTCTCCCCTACATGAGGGAGAGCAGGACACAAAGCTGTTTATATCTCTGCCTCCCAGAATTAGAATGGTTTTTTTGGTGGATTCATTCTAGTGTTATTAGAAAGGGGGTTTGGTAGGCACTCTTCTGGAATGGCTGCCTTGGGGTTGCTGAATTGGTACTTGATCTTTTTACTTTTTTTTCAGCATGTCTGGTTCTTGGTTAGGTTTAGAGCCAGAGGCAGTTTGACTTTTTTCCTTTTGACATTAGCCTAGGGGACCATTTACCTTCAGCCAAGAATTTATTTTCCACAAAGAGGGCAAAGACTAGGGAGTTTCTTACAGTTGAACTGCAGTTGCAGCTTTCCAGTTTTACCCTGAGGATCTGCATTCTTTTCATGTGGGTGGAGTCTGACAGTTTGACTGTCCATTTTAGGAGACGGGGATGAGTTCTCTGTATGTCTTCAATCCCATTTTTGGGAAATGGAGTCAGGTGGCTCCCCCAGTGCTGAAGCGCCCAATCTTGCAGTCCTTGCTTCTCCCAATCATGGATCAAGACTATGCCAAGGTGTTGCTGTTGATAGATGATGAGTACAAGGTACTACGTCTCCAGAGGGTTTGGAGAAAATCCAGGTGGCGTCGGGTGTGGGGGTGGCATGGTCAAACACGGTTAGCACAACAGAGATAGAGTGCTGTCTATAGTCAGCCACTTTTGGCCAACCATAAGAGACATGATTGCTGTTTCTGCACTTGTGAAAACTCAAGATTCTTAACAGTACTAAATTTAAGCCCTATTTTGAGTAGACTCTAATTCTTTTAAGATTTGCTGTTTTATTCTTAAGGCTTTCTTTGATGGGAAACAGTAATGAGTCTTGGGAAACTGGGCTTAGAGATTCCTGACTCTTTCCTTTAACTCTTCTCTTGGGCTCTCTGGGTTTTTCAAGGTCACAGCTTTCCCACCCACTCGGAATGTCTTGCGACAGCTACATGAGCTTGCTCCTTCCATCTTCTTCTATTTGGTGGATGCAGAGCAGGGACGACTAAGTGGATATCGGCTTCGAAAGGTAGGGAAGGAGTGTCCTGGCAGGACCCTTTGTAGGGGAATGTGGGTGTTTCCTGGTTATTGACTAAGAAGTGAATTATGCTGTTCATCCTATTGTATACTTAGATCATCATAATCCCGATGTCTGATTCAAAGTCAGTCATTCCTTTTTATTTATTGGGCAGCTACTACATGGCAGGCCTGGGTCTAGGTGCCACAGACAGAGAAGTGCACAGTAGACAAAGTCTCAGCCCTCATGGGGCTTTCATTCCACATTCCTTTTCTGTAGCAGAGAGAAGGGACATTTTTCTCTATTCTTGGAAAGGTGGGAGGTAGGAATGGGGTTGAGTAATGAATTGTACTTTTATATGAAAATGATGTTATTGACCAACTCCTGTCAGAATGTGTACTTGGAATTTTATTTCTAGAAATGGGGTTGAATTGCTCTGATCCTGACATACTTGGGTCCAACTCTTAGAAACCGTGATACATACTAACTCTGAAGTTCACAAGGGACTGGCCTTGGCCTTGTTGTCAGGGCTGTGCAGAGAAGCACTTGTGGTGTGTACTCACCAGAGAACACCCCCATCCTGTCCCATAAAGCCTTTTGAGAGGCAGTGTAGTATACAGGTTAACAGCTTGGACCCAGTTACTTGGGTTTGAAGCCTAGCTTTATCACTTATTTACTTTGGGATCTTGGGCATATTACGTCTCTGACCCTCTGTTTTCTTGTCTGTAAAATAAAATGATGATAATACCTACCTCATAAGGTTGTTGTGAGGATTCAATTTGTTAATGCATGTAAATCACATAAAACAATGCTTGGCGCATAGGACATGCCATCTAAGTTTGAGCTGTTGTTGCTCTGAAAGTGCAGGGCCCTTTCCTGACGTTTCTGTAACAGCTAACCTTTAGCATAACCAGCAAAGGAGATGGTCTGCCCAGAAAACACATTATTTACCCTCGTGGGTGAAAAACAAAATTGTCCTTCCAAGTTGATAAAAATGGAACCTTGAAAGAGACAATTCTTTGTAGACAGAGGGGAGTGTACTGGAATGTGGGTGTCATGAGTCAGTGGAGTCTTGAGGATATTATCTGAGTAAACGATGACCAGGGGAAGCAAGGAGGCAAAGCTTCACGTGGGAAATAAGCCAAGAGTGGGCTTCTAGTCCTTGACCTCCAGGTGAGCTACTACCTTCCCCTCACTTTGCGACTGTACTCTCTGTTTACGTTTTAGTGAGTTCTCATGTTTTCAAAGGAGGCTGTGGCAATGAAGGCTTATTTGTTATTAATAAAAATTTTATTTTATTTTGTTTTTGGCAGCTGGCTGGTATGAGGATCTGAACCCTTGACCTCGGTGTTATAAGGCCTCTCTCTAACAAACTGAACTAACCAGCGAGCCCGTTTCTTAAACTGAGAGTTGCAAAACTTCATAAACTAGATCTTTATTGCTATTTTCTAGGAGTTCTGATATCTGTTCCTTCCAGCACAAAGGCCTCAAATGAACTGCAGGATGTGTCCAGCTACAGCTGTCTCAGGTCTAAGTGTACTCTCCTGATTACAAGCTCTTCTGCCCCCGCCCTAGGATCTTACTACTGAACTGAGTTGGGAGCTGACTATTCCTCCAGAAGTACAGCGGATTGTCAAGGTGAAGGGGAAACGCAGCAGTGAGCACGTTCATTCCCAAGGCCGTGTGATGGGGGACCGCAGTGTGCTCTACAAGGTACAGCACAGCAATTTGGCACGGAGCAAGAGCTCTAGAATCAGGAAAACAAGGGTTTGAATTCTGGCTGTAGGACTTGGTAGCTGCGAGTACATGACCTTGGGAAGTCACTTAATCCCTTTGAGCAAGGATAACACAAAGATCAGAGGATTGCTATGTAGATTAATGACTACGTATATAAAGTGACTAGAATAGTGCCTGCTACATAGTTAACATCATCATTATTTTTTTTATTACCCAAACATTTACCATTTCTTTGTGGTTATAGTGTTCAAGATCCCCTTTCCTGGCTATCTTGAAATATACAAGACACTCTTATTAGCTATTGTCACCCTAGGGCACCAGAACTTATTCTTCCTATCTAAGTGTAACTTTGTACCTGCCTACCAATCTTCCCCTGCCCCCCACTTCCCTTTCCCTGCCTCTGGTAACCACTATTCTACTCCCTGTTTCTCTTTTTTCTGTTTTTAATTTATTTTTCTTAACTGACTCACAATAATTGTATGTATTTATGGAGTACAGGATGATATTTGGGTACATTCATACTGTGTGCAGTGATCATATCAGGGTGCTTAGTATATCCATCATCTCACATGTTTGTCACTTCTTTGTGTTAGGAACGTTCAGTATCATCTTGACTAGTTATTCAAAGATAGAGAGTATTTTGTTAACTGTAGTCTCCTATATTACTGCAGAACCCTAGATCCCATTCTTCCTATCTCTAATATTTTGTATCCACTATCTACCTTCTCCCCATCTCCCCCTTTCCTCACCAGTCTCTAGTAACTACTGTTCTGCTCTCTACTTCTATGAGATCAACTTTTTTAGCTTCCAACTATTAGTGAGAACATGTGGTATTTCTCTCTGTGCCTGGCTTATTAACGTAGTTTTCTCTAAGTTCATCCATGTTGCTGCAAATGGCAGAATTTCATTCTTTTTTATGGCAGAGTAGTATTCCATTGTGTATATATACTGCATTTTCTTTATCCAATCATTCATGGAAGGACATAGTTAACATTATTACTAATGTTATTGATTTGAATTCTTTTTTTTTTTTTTTCCTTTTTTTGTCTTTTTTCGTGACCAGTAACGGGATCACAACCCTCAGTGTCGCGCCCGTACCGCGACCGGCAACGGGATCGCAACCCTTGGTGTCGTGCCTGCACCACGCCTAACCAGTGAGCGGACCGGTCTCTATATGGGATCTGAACCCTTGGCAGGAGCGCCGCCGCGCACCTTCCGTGTGGCAGCAGTCGATTTTAACTTGTTCAGAATAACCAAAATAATACAAATTCTAAAGTACATTTTGTCTTGTACTAGAAAAAAATATATCATTATGTAATTTTATCTTTATAAGGTAACCCTTTCTAGACTACTTGTGTTTTCTAAAAAGCATAGTAGCTAGGAGTAGGGCTTTTTGGATTCATATTCATTATTCAAATTTTTTAGGTTAGTTTTTTTTAATAAACTTTTTTTGGTATAATTTTAGATTTACAAAAAAGTGGCAAAGATAGTACATAGAGTTCCCGTATTCCCCTTACCTAGCCTCCCCTACATGACCATGGTATATTTGTCTACACTAAGAAACCAACATTGGTACATGACTATTAACTAAACTCCAGGCTTTATTTGGGTTTTACTAGTTTTTTTCACTAATGTCATTTTTCTGTTCCAGGACCCCACATTGCATTTTGTTGTCACGTTTCTTTAGTCTCCTCCGGTCTATGAAAGTTTTTCAGTCACAGATTTGGGCATTGCCAGCACCCATAGGTTAAAGCCATGAGATTGGCTGAGATCATCGTGAGGGTGAGTGTAGACAGAAATGCCCAAGGCCTGCCTACTGCCTTATGTGTTCCATCATGAAGAGATTGGGGAGATGCAGAGGAACCCACAAAAGAGACTAAGAGGAGAGGCTAGTGAGGCAAAAGGAAAATCAGGGAGCTGGTATCAAGAAAGCCAGATAGAGAAAGTGATTCAAGAAGGGAGTGGTCATGTGTGTCACATGGCACTAGTAGGATAAATAATGAGGATCATGACTATCCACTGGGTTTAGTGATAGGAAGGTTGCTGTGATCTTGAGCAGAACAATTTTGGTGGAGAGAAATAACATTGCTGGAGCAGTGTCATACAGTCAGTCAGTGGGCAGACCTGGATTTTATCTTGGGTTATCATTTGCTATCTCTGTGACTGGAGAAGTTGCTTAATTAAGACTTACCTTATGACTGTCCTGTTCACCAGTGAACTGTGGATAATAATAGCTACTTTGCAAGGCTGCTAAAGGGATTAAATGCAACGCAGGGCACCTAGCGTGGCACCCAGTACCCAGGGGAGATGAAACTAGTGCAGAGATGAGAAACTCAATAGGACACTTTTCCAACCAGAAACCCAACTTCCTCTGCTAGGCCATAGAGCTCTTGGCTGTCCTCATGGCACGGGGCTCACAGTGGAGTGGAGCGCATGAGGTATCATTATGGTTCTGAAGGAGCTTTTCTCCCCCTCTCCCCAGAGCCTGAACCCCAACCTGCTGGCCGTGGTGACAGAGAGCACAGATGTACACCATGAGCGCACCTTTATTGGCATCTTCCTCATTGATGGTGTCACTGGGCGCATCATCCACTCCTCTGTGCAGAAGAAAGCGAGGGGCCCCGTCCACATCGTGCACTCGGAGAACTGGGTTGTGGTAAGGAGTCACACCCAAGGGCATAAGGTAGCTCCAGAGGGCTCCCTGCATCTTAGATCTTTTCCAGAAATCCAGTTGCTTCTTTGTGTTTTCATAGGATCCTAAACCCCCTGGATGGCAGCATAGAGTGCTATGGGGAGGCCAGGCTCAGGCATCAGACTGCCTAGGTTTGATCCCACCTCTTCCATTTCCTAACTGTACAACCTTGAACTAGTTTTGTAAGCTGTCTGCATTGCATCATCAGTGAAATAGGAATAATGACAGTCACCTCCAGTCTAGTTTAGAACACTAGCACTCAAAGGTTAGCTATTAATATGACTTCTCCTAAGAATCTCGAGAATTCCTTTGTCTTGTGGTGAACTTTGGATAGCCTAGATAAAACTATCTTGAAAGTTAGTAAACTTGGTAACAAGGAAGAAAACTAGGGTGCTAGGTGGGTTTTTCCTTCTCGAATCTCTAGTTAATTTGCAGGGTGCATTCCAGTGTAATTTCTCCTTACCAGTTGAACCAGCAGCTAAGCCCTCAGCAGCCTCCTTCTATCTCTGCAGTACCAGTACTGGAATACCAAGGCTCGGCGCAATGAGTTTACTGCACTGGAGCTTTATGAGGGTACCGAGCAATACAATGCCACTGCTTTCAGCTCCCTGGACCGTCCCCAGCTGCCTCAGGTCCTCCAGCAGTCCTACATCTTCCCCTCTTCCATCAGTGCCATGGAAGCCACCATCACTGAGCGGGGCATCACCAGCCGACACCTGCTTAGTGAGTGTCTGGGGGAGGGCCTCTGTGGTGACCGGGTTCTCTCAGGCAGCCATCCTGAAAGACAGAGCAGGGGCTGCACTGCCAGCAGAGCCCTTTTGACCAGCCATAAGGGAAGGTTGGTGAGGAAGGCTATGTCAGTGGAAAAGTTCAGCCCTGCCAGCTAGGAACAGTGAGCACTTCTCTCTTAGTCCTTATGTCGGATGAACCACTTGCCTTTGGTGTTTTCACCTTGCTCAGAAAATCAGTCCCTGATGGCATACCTAACATAGATGGCCTGTACTGACAGGCTGCAGGAACCAGCAAGGGGTAGCCTAAATTCAGGACTTACTGATTGAGTAACAGGCCCCCTCTGCCTAGTTGGTTTTACCAAAAACGTTTGGGACTCTCAGCTTTGACAGGCACTTGGTATTACTTTCTCTTCTCAAATATGAGGAAGACAATTTATCATCATCAATCACCATTACTGATACTGGCACTATCTAATGATGCCCAGTCCCCTGCCCTCCCTGGCCATAGTACTACAGCAGTGCATACAGCCTGTGAGTGCTTAATGGGAAGATCGCTTGGTCGGGGAGGTACTATTGTAGGGAAAGGAGGGAGGGATGAAGAGATCCAAGTGGCCTTCCAGGTTCTTCTCCTTCATCGTTACCCATATCTTAATTCTAGAACTTTATATTTTGATGTCTCAGGATGATATGTGAAGAAACCACTATCTTCAAATGTGGGAGCCTTCATTTAGACCCATGTGTATTATTGGATTAATGTTTTTGGCTATTTAAGGGAACATCCTTGACCCATATTTTTGTTTTGAACTCTCTATTTTAAATTTCTGTGATAATGACATTTTTGTAACTGGCCCTCCTCTGGGATTGGATCATTGTGAACATTCACTCCTTCCTGTGCAGTTGGGCTACCTTCTGGAGCAATTCTTTCCCTTCCTAAGGCCTTGCTGGATCCCCGCCGTCCTGAGATCCCAACAGAACAAAGCAGGTGAGACCCCTGTGGGTTGTGCTGGAGGCCCTGACCTTAAGGACTTTAGCCTCTTTGATTAAGTTTGGTCCTCAGCCTGCCATATACCATCATGCTGTGGTAGGAGCTAAGGACATAGCAGTGAGCAAGTCTGACAAAGAGGTCTGCCCTCATGGAGCTTACGTTCTGGTTGGAAAGAGACAGTAAATAAATAATAAAATAACCAAGTAAAATACTTGTATATACTATGTTAGGTACTTGTAAATGCTAAGGAGAAAAAATAAAAGTGGGACAGGCTGTGAAGAGTATGGGGAGAAGGGCTGGCCCGGTGGCGCACTGGAGAGTGCGGCGCTTGGGAGTGCGGCGGCGCTCCCGCCTAGGGTTCGGATCCCATGTGGAGACCGGTTCCCGCTCACTGGCTGAGTGTGGTGCGGGCGCAACACCGAGGGTTGCGATCCCTTTGCCGGTCCCCGGTACGGGCGCGACACCGAGGGTTGCGATCCCATTACCGGTCAGTAAAAAAGACAAAAAAAAAAGGAAAAAAAAGAGTATGGGGAGGAATGTGCATGGGTGAAATTTGAGATATAGTGGCCTGGGCAAGCCCTTCTCAAAGGTGGCTTTTGAGTAAAGACCTGCAGGAGGTGAAGGAGCTAGCCGTGTGGATATCCAAGGGAGAACTTTCTAGGCGGAGGGAACAAGCAGTGGAAGTGTCCTGCAGTCGTGTCTGTTGAGTTCGGGGAGGCAATGCAGCCATGTGGCTAGAGCAGCAAGTGGTGGGAGACAGTAGGAAGTGAGGGCATAGAAGTAGTAATGGGAGCTGGATCCTGCAGGGAAGTTCACTGTTATTAATTTTGTACTTCCACCCACATCTCTGCATATTTTCTCGCCTTCATCCTGAGCTCTCTTCACTTAAAGGTGTGAGGAACTGTGGGCAGTGGGTGGACAGAGCAGATTTGTCTGTCCCTCGAGGAAGGGAGAGGGGTGTGGTTTGGAGAACTTCATGAGAGAAGAGGTTAAGCTGTGAAAAGACATAGGGTGATAAATGGGTTTTCAGAGGAGAAGTGGGGACTGCAAGGCACTGTGGCGTGAAGAGCAGGAATCGGCCAGTGGTTCAGTGTGTTGGTTTAAAAATGGCCCTCACTTTCCTCCTCTGATGTGAAATGCCAGTCATCTGTATTTTATTTCTTTCGAGAATTAGAATAAGGTAGGAATCCTGGGCCGGCCCCGTGGCGCACTCGGGTGAGTGCAGCGCTTGGGAAGCGCAGCGGCGATCCCGCCGCGGGTTCGGATCCTATATAAGGATGGCCGGTGCGCTCACTGGCTGAGCGCGGTGCAGGCGACACCGGGCCGAGGGTTGCGATCCCCTTACCGATCACACACACACACACACACACACACACACACACACACACAAAAAAAAAGAACAAGGTAGGAATCCTGGGCCGGCCCCGTGGCGCACTCGGGCGAGTGCAGCGCTTGGGAAGCGCAGCGGCGATCCCGCCGCGGGTTCGGATCCTATATAAGGATGGCCGGTGCGCTCACTGGCTGAGCGCGGTGCAGGCGACACCGGGCCGAGGGTTGCGATCCCCTTACCGATCACACACACACACACACACACACACAAAAAAAAAGAACAAGGTAGGAATCCTGATCTCAGTCCTACTCTCCAGACAGCTTTCGTTCTTGCTAACATTCACCTGCTAAATTTTTAACTACCTACTGCAAGTAGACCTCAAAGGAGATTTGAGGCTAGATATGTGGCCTGGAAACCTCCCAGGACTCAGGGAGGGCATCTAAGAGATCCCTTCACAGCAGTTTTCAGAGTGCCCGTCCTGGTTGGTGTTTTGCAGAGAGGAGAATCTAATCCCGTATTCTCCAGATGTACAGATACACGCAGAGCGATTCATCAATTATAACCAGACAGTTTCCCGAATGCGAGGTATCTACACAGCTCCCTCAGGCCTGGAATCCACTTGTTTGGTGAGTAGAGCCCACAGTCACCCTGTATGACAGCTGCTCTTTGTTTCACCCTTGGGAAAACACCTGAGGATTCCATTTCCTTTCTTACCCGAGTTTAAGGTTGGGGTGGGTCTTTGGTTGCCTTTCTTCCATAATTCTCGTTCTGTCTGCCTTCCAGGTTGTGGCCTATGGTTTGGACATCTATCAGACTCGAGTCTACCCATCCAAACAGTTTGATGTCCTGAAGGATGACTATGACTACGTGTTAATCAGCAGTGTCCTCTTTGGCCTGGTTTTTGCCACCATGATCACTAAGAGACTGGCCCAGGTGAAACTCCTGAATCGTGCGTGGCGGTAAAGACCAAAGACTCCAAGCCAGAGAGTGGAGAGAGGGGGAGTGTGGGTCGGATAAGAGGCAACAGCTGCAGTTTGCAGAGCAGTGGAGTGTGTGATGGGTGCTCATCTCAGTTCAGAGTTGTGAGGAAGAAGATGAACCGTCATGTAGAACTTCTTTTGGGATACACGTGATGCAGAACACTATCGTGGTAGAGACTGAATTCACTCTCTCAGCTGAGGATCTCAAAGCAGCTTGATGGACTTTTCCCATGAAGCCCAAAGACTGCTATGCCATTTCCTTTCTTTGCCCATCCATGAATGTTCTGTTTTTTGAGTTTTTTTAATAAGACCTCCAACTGATTTTTCTTTTTTGAGGCCTGTTTAAATTGATTTTAGTTTTCCTTCTGTGTTTCCGAGTTTTATCTAGAAATCCTTCTGACTTTTTCCCTGCCTCTTGCAAGAAGTCAGAAGTTTTTCTTGTCACCTCCACCTTATAGGTGCATTTGCTCTTTTACATTGGAGAGGCACAGGATCCATCCCTAGCTGAGGTTTGAGGACTGATTGAGCCTCTTATGGCTTTGCTTCGGAGTAACCAAGGATTGAGGAATCTATATATAGTGTCAAAACTAATTTTTACTAATCCTCTAGTTTCATGCTCTCATTATGAGGTTGGGTCACCAGTCTTTGTCTCAGTTTATGAAAAGCCAGGTGTATAATAGCACCTTGGTTTGTTGGTCATTGCCTATGCTTTTCACCTGAGATGTGTCAGAACCGAGGCCTTTTTAAAACTACTGACTGCCTGAACCTTGAAGATTTCAAGGGAGGAGAATCTGCCTGTTTCACAGTAACTTGTAATCTCTCGTTTCACCCACAGGCTGGTCTAGTCATAATGTAGTTAGAGAAAGGTGTCCTTAAGAACCCCATTATTTATTTTTAGTTTTAGATATAAATTAACATGTGGGTTATTATGTTTCTCTTTAAATGAGATTTAAAATCTTATTGATCTAACCTTGGAAGCTTTAAAAAAGGGAAGAAAAAGAGTAGGGATGGGAAAGTGGTGTATTAAGGGCTTAGCTTTGCTGACGGGCAGGGCTGCTGAGTCTCTACTACAAATTAAAGAAATCCTAAAAGTCTTCTCTTGTTCATGGATTTTGTGTGTGTGTGGTGTGTGTGTGTGTGTGTGTTATGTGTGTGTGTGGTGTGTTGTGTGTCCGGTACAGGGATCCGAACCCTTGACCCTGGTGTGGAATTTGTCTTAAACGTGAGGAATGAGCTGCAGAGAGTAGACCATCACTAGCCCTGTGGTGAGAGGGGTGCACTCAAGTGTCTGAATAAAGCAAATGATGAATGACACTGATCTAAGTCCTTTTTTGTGTTTTAGGAAGATAACTCTGAAGCTACTTTTGCATTAGAGGGGGAAAAGCAGTGCAGAAATGGAGTGTTTTTTAGTAAGGAAACATGCCAATTTTTTTTTTTTCCTTTTTGTCTTTTTTCGTGACCGGCAACAGATCGCAACCCTCAGTGTCGCACCCGTACCGGACCGGGACCGGCAACGGGATCGCAACCCTCGGTGTTGCTCCTACACCTCGCTCAGCCAGTGAGCGGGAACCGGTCTGTATGTGGGATCCGAACCCTCGGCGGGAGCGCCGTTGCGCTCCCAAGCAGCACACTGTAGCAGTGCGCCACCGGGCCGGCCCCAGGAAACATGCCAATTTAATCATGAGTTGGTTTAGGCTATTTTAAAACAAAACTTTTCATCTTTCTGTGGTCATATGCTGATGGTAGATTATGGTAGAGAAGGAGGAAATATGATCATTTTACATTAATAAAATTGTCAAACTGACATCAATGGGCAAATGAACATCTAAGTATCTACAGAATAAAACAGGAATCTGTTTATCCTAACCCCAAGGCGTATTTTGTTTAAGAGACCTGGGAATAAGTACAAGTTTAAAAAAAATTCTGCCCTAGTTTTGAGAAAGCCGGGCAGGAATTCTGAGTGTCTTATATGTACAAGCTGCATAACAAGATATTGTCTGGCTGCCTGTTCTGCTTGCACAGCCCAACTAATCTGCAAGATCCTAGTTTTCATTTATTTAAGTGCCAGAATCTGAAAGAACAAACTAATGGGAGGGGAGTTATCTGCCCTTTCATAAAAGTCCCTAAAGTGTTTTGGCCTTAATCATTACCATTTTACTGAAAGTTACCACAAAGCAGGTGCTTAAAATAGTTTATGCTAATGCCAGTCAAATCTAAGTCTTCTCTTAGTTCTCAACCTTCCTTAATCTTAAAGCAGCATTTGGTGCTCATCAGCTACGCTCAGCTTCCACTTCTGGCTTCTGAGCAGCGTGTTTTCTCTCTCAGTTCTTGGATATATTTGCTTTCTTGTCTTCCTCTTTTTCTGTGCATATCCCTTGAGCCATCTCCCCTTACCTTCATTAGTTAGGTTAATTTCCCCCCTCCCTCAGTGTTTCTCTCAAAAAGGGCAATTCTTCAGTATTTTCTAGGCTATTTTTAAAACTTAGTTTGATCAACCTGCAAGATCTTTTGGCTTAACACTTTGCAACTGTAAGGTAAATGTGGACATAGACCTATTTCCCCCTCTGCCTGGGAAACTACCCCTGGCCAAGGTAGTTACCCAAGGAAAGGCATGTCTCCTTTAAGACAAACAGAACTGTAGGAAGCAGGAGCCCTTAGTAAGTTAATTAGCATGTAAATGTAGTTAACACACGAATGTTAAGTACTCTGGCACCAGGAGGGTAGCAAGTAAGTTAACTTACCTACTTAGCCAGATCTCACGTGCACACCCTGAGTTGGGTGAGAGTCTACACATAAGCATGCCTCTCCTTTGATCTGTTCACTAATATAACTGTTGTATGTACCCCATGGTGGTGCAGATTTCTAGCAAACCAGCCGCCACCAGCACCTCCCCTTGGTTTAATAAACTGATGTCTCTACCTATTGCAATATCTGGTGAGTTTCTTTGGAACAGGTAAACACTGTGCGGGTGCCCTTTCAGATTTGGGGCTCCCATGATACAGCAGCTAAATAACTTAGTGATTCTGAGTCCCTGTTGGCAATAATGTAAAATTTTCCTTAGCTTTTGACTTGAAATAAGAATCAATTATTGGGGAACGTGCATGAATTAAATACAGAATTCTCGTTGTTTAACAGAAGGTTCAGGGTCAGTAAGAACCCTTTTGGTTGGTATCTGTGTGTGTGTGTAAGGAAAACGAAAAATGGTCAGGCTCCATCAGCTGTTTGGAATCTTGCTGGGCATGACCTAGCCTGTTTGATATAAATATGTTAACTGCACATGTGCACCCAAGTGTTCCTTGGCTATCTGACAAGTATAAAGGACAAGTGGCTTTGATCCACAGTGACCCTAGGACACCCCCAGGAGGCCACTAGGTGTCCACTGCTGCAGGATCTGCTAGAGGCTGTTGCTGCTGAGGAGGGGGCTGAGAGGGCTGAGCTTGCGTCCAAATAAAGCATGTTAACCTTGCCAAGGCTCCCAGGATCTTTTTCCAGTTACCTAGCTTGCAGCCTGCACGTGAGGGGTCTGTGACCAGTCTGCACAATGGGTTTGAAGGGTCTGTAACCCAGCCCGACAGTGTGCATATAAAACACTAATGTATTATGCCCTGCTTGCCCTCTTAGAATTGTAGCTTATTGATTTAATACCACTTTCGGAAGAGGTCGACACCTGCTCTCCATCTCCCCGCTCCTAGCAAAGAAAGGCAAGCAAGCTTATATGCAGATGATATGGTTTTATTGTCATAAGGTAGGGATGGCTCTAAAAAATAATTGATACTACATTTTAACAACTACCAACACAAATTATAGAATTAAGCTTTTCTGAAACCCAAATTTTGAGCATTCCTCCAATATTTATTTTGCTTATGGTCCACAATTCTGAATTGTGAGTTATTTTACTGTGGAGTAGAATTCCACACCTTGACTACCCTTTTGTCTGCAAAGGCATGCCTTTGTCTCTGTTTAGCCAAAAATCCTTTTCTGCCCCTCTCATTTTAATGACAGGATGTTACTCCTCTTCCCAGCTTTATCACAGTTGGGACTGCAGCTCCCCCCCTCCCCCCACAGCTGGCTGGTACAGGGATCCAAACCTTTGACCTTGGTGTTACCAACAGCAAGCTTTAACCAACTGAGTTAACCAGACAGCCCCCCCTTCCCAGCTTCAAAGATTGCTAAACTGTATAGCTTCATGCTTCTCTACCACCACAGAGCAGGTGTGCTTAGTGTAGATCTCAGCATCTCACCTTGTTACAAAAAGCTCTCAGGACAGCTTACACAAATGCAAGCATTACAAGATAAAATGAAAATTAACGGGGTGAACAGACAAGAAGAAGAATAAACAACTCAGATGGAGATTGGTTGAAACACATTTGTAGTGGATACCCCACATATATCTTCATCTATATCTATATCTTCAAGCTACTCTAAAATCGAACCAATGAGAGAAATTTCCCTCTGGCCTCAGTATTGGGAACAGTTGTCTCAAATCACTTTAAAAATCCTTTTATTTTCTTGACTATAAGTAGAACATGCTTAACACAGAAAAGTTTAAAATACAAAAATTATTTATTACTATTAATTACTCATATGGGCACTGATAGTGTTTTTTCTTACATACAAACTTTTTAATGGGATTATGCTATTTAATTCTGCTTATTTTTTCCACTAATACATCTTGAACATCATGTACTCATAAAGATGCCTGAAATCCTTTCTGGAACAAAATATGATAGAAAAATACACTCCAACTCCTAATTTAAGTATTAGAGACTTTAATGCAAGTCACCTAATCTCTGAACTAGTTTTACTCTTTGTGTGAGGGCACAGGTTATGGTCTGTAACGTGTCTTTCAGCTTGAGAATCTCTGATTTGTAATTTCACTGCCTTTATAAATTGCTGTTCTTTGTAAGAACCTATTACATAAGCTACAATTTTAAGAATCATCCCAAGATTCGCTGATTTCTGCTCATTTAAAATTTTGCTTTTGAGTCATGAATCTATTCTGTTTTCATTACTTGGAATGCTTTCTTCCCTTCTCAAAATCGAGCCTGTTTCGGGGGCCGGCCTGTGGCTCACCCGGGAGAGTGCGGTGCTAACACCAAGGCCACGGGTTCGGATCCTATATAGGGATGGCCGGTTTGCTCACTGGGTGAGCGTGGTGCTGACAACACCAAGTCAAGGGTTAAGATCCCCTTACTGGTCATCTTTTCAAAAAAAATCTAGCCTGTTTCAAACCTGACTGCTCCATAAAGTCTTCCCTGTTGATTTCACCTACTCAGGACCTCCGGGTTTCCTGGCTGCTAACCACGTAACTTCCTGAATGATATATCCTACCACATTATTATTTCAGATGTTCTGTCTCTCTCAGGGATTGTTACACTGTTTTCTGAATTCCCTATTGTCCTAGGTATGAAGTTGTTACTTGACAAATAGTTCCCCAAATGGTTATGCCTTCTTCGCAGAAGCCTTAGGACATTTGTCCCCAGTTTCTTAAATTCCTAAGTCTTTGGTGACTTAGTAAGGCATTCTTATATTTATTGAAATGCCAAGAGATAGTTCAACTTGCTTTTCCCTGGACACTAGGTCTGACAAATCCTGTTTTACTACTTAAAACAAATGTTCACATGATCAGTATGGGAAATAAGCTATATGGCACCATAATTTCTATTCTAAAAGAGAAGAGTATCTTTTTGGTATTATATTTATATAAACAGAATAAAAAGAATTTTGACTACTTAGACTCATAAGCCCAAATAGTCTTTGTAAAACACTATAACAACTATGTTACTATTCAAAAATTGACAATTATTCTTCCATAATTAAAACAGGTAGATTTTTTAGAGTAGGGATGATCAAAAACAAACAAAAAACCCCAAAACAGGAACAAAAGAATCAAAAAAACGAAAAACAAAACAAAAAACAGAGGCACACAATGTCTGGTGCACTTTTATTCTTTGTAAATTGTAAATTGAAATGTTTCAATGATACTGAAATTACTTTTGAATAGTGAAGGAGATACTGGTACTTTGTATGAATCCGCTGCTTCAGTTTTTGTTACCAAGTTGTTTATTTTAAAAAGACTGTAAAAATTATGGTGAGTTTCTCCTTCAAAACCTATCCCCACCCTCTATTTCCCAGAGGTCACCACCAAACAATTTGGTATGTATCTCTCTAGACCAAACAATGTTCTGCAACTTGATGTTATCAACTCATGGACTGCTCCCATATCAGCAGAATGGATCTCCCACACCACTTTTAATGGTCACAAGGTTGAAATTCTTAAGTGTTATTCCATTAGATTTTTTTTTTTTTTGGCA